CACAATTTAAAAAAAAGTGCATAGTACTTTTTTGTGATAACTAGTAATACATAGTATGCATATTACACATAATAGGTAAACTACTATTTATTTTTATATTATTTAAATGTATACAGGATATTTGGCGCGTGGACCAACACTATTTTTTCAGGGATTTGGGAGGTCATTAGCTACCCTTTACCCACTTTAACAATTCCAAATTAAGCTAGCTAGCATCTGTATTGTTGGTTTATTTGTTACTCCATGTCAAAACACATAGGTTAATTTTTATCCCATGGTACTTATACAAAAGTTCGTTAACAGGTGCTTAGAAATTTGCAAAAATATTTGCTCCGCATGCTGGACATAAAGACAGGTGATAAAATGCTATTCTGACTTTACAAAATTATTATGGTGTTGTTGTCATTATTATGTTACCGTAACATATTATATCGTGTCATCTCATTCAACAAAATGAACCACTTCTGTTTCTTGTGAAATGAATTCAGTTCATTTCACAAGAATGAATAATTGGGATGATGACAGGGTATGAAAATTAAAAATCTAATTAGGTACCTAGTCCGTATGTAAATAGGTAATGAAAAAATACGCATTTTTTATTTTATCGTGTAATAAAACAATACTTAGATAACACAAATCAAAGTTTAGGAGTGGGGGCTAAAACGTCATTTCTACGTATAAAATGTACATAGAAGTGACGTCACGCGACATTTCAAATCAATATATCGGCGAAAGTATTCGTTTCTGTAAGAAAATAAAAAATACGTGTCTAATGATTTAAAATAATCTTCCAGACGGACAATAAAATAAAAATTAGGCATCTACCCTATTGCCATAAAAACTTTTATAATTAAGAAATTCCAGGTCACTTAAATTATTTTACACATTCTCTGAACTTAATTTTTAAAAATAAACTTCTGTTTAAATAATTGTCAAGCAATACCAATATTTATGAAGAAAACTTATTATTGAGCGTTATGAGTATTCACTCAGTGACCCAAATTAACATTTTTTTCTTGCAACTGCATTTTGCAAGAATCATTACTACCTATACATTTTAATGTGCAGTTAAAGCCTCTGTATGTATAGTTATTTTAATACACACTTATACAAATGTGACAGAACAGTACAAGTATATTTTAGACTTTATTGTAAAATTAAAGAATGGGGATGATGACAGGGTATGAAAATTAAAAATATAATTAGTCCGTAAGTTAGGTAATGAAAAAATATTAGACACGTATTTTTTTATTTTGCCGTATAATAAAACAATACTTAGATAAAACGAATCAAAGTTGGAGTGGGGGCTAAAACGTCATTCCTTAGTATAAAATGTACTGAGAAGTGACATCACGCGACATTTCAAATCAATATATCTTCGAAACTATTCGTTTCTGTGAAAAAATAAAAAATACGTGTCTAATGTTTTTAAATAATCTATCACACGGACATTAAAATAAAAATTAGTCGTCTACCCTATTGAACATGCATTAAAGAAATTCAGATTAGGATTAGTAACATAGGTATTGGATTGACATGGGTATCTAATCTTTATTTATAGCAGTTACTATTAAGTTCGAAGCGAAATGGTTTCTTTTTATAATAGGGTGTAAATTGTTCCGGAATACGGTTGGCATAATTGCCAAGTCATAATTCCTTTGCGTGCCAGCCAGATGCATACTGCTTAAACACCGTCACGTACGTGTTGTGCAATGCACATGGGGTACGACACAGTTCCTTTAAAGCTGTATTTTTTCTAGATTTACTACTTAACCTAATCAAAATGTATGCGTACGTTATTATTATATTATTTTCTATGTCATGTAATTTTATGTGTTCTATGCATATGCACTTTTTGACGTCAATAAAATATTAGATTTACACATTAATCATGTTATTAATTCGTAGGTACCTACTTATATACCGTTATAGATTTTTAAAAAATCAAAAAGGGACACCTAATGTCAATAATAAAAGTTATTAATATGTAACTTGTTGGTACCCTTGAAGTAAAAATTCATATTATACTGTTGTATAATAAAGTAAAATACTCTAGTAATATTGGGTTTTCAAAAAAAATCTCAGTAGTAGCACGCAGTCTGGCATTGTGTTTGGTATATGGCAATAGGCTCGCCCCCTATTACCTACATGGGATTCATAACTTAAATAGTAAAAAGTGGATGTTACATTGTACAGTGGCGTTAAATGCCGTAATGTGCACCTCTGCCTACCCCTTCGGGAATAATAAAAGTGAAGTTATTAAGTATTTAAATTACTTATAACTTTAGTAGAAAATACATAGGTGGCAAGAGAATTTATAGGTAGGTATTAGGTACCTTAAAACGAAAAATTAAGAAATTATGCATACCAGAAAATTTTGTGCAATTTGTTCTGTGTGCCTACACAATTTTTTTCATTTAGATGATAATGCAACCCATATTTAACTCGTCGAGTACCGGTTTTATAGACACAATTAAAGAACAATAGGTCGCGGTCACCGGTGACCGCTTGGTGTTTGACAGTTTAAAGTAGGGACATTATCCTGTATTTTACTCTAGTGCTGTTTCTGTACAGCATTGACCTCTGAAATTGACGTATTTAATATTATACACACAATAGAAAAGTGTTTAGTTACCTATAAACGAGTACTTGTAATTACTAATTAATAATGCGTGGTTAACAGAAATTTGAAAATCATTTGACTTTCATAAACATAATTTATTAAAATAAATATTTGTTTACATAAATAAATTATACTTAAGTTTCATGTATTGTTTCTAATTAGGTACAATAATTGTTCAGTTTTTTTTCTTTTAATCAGTATAACCAATCAGCCAATTGATTGAACACGATAATCTGTATTGAAATAGAAAATAAGTTTTTGAATTCTATGTAAGTAGGTACGCTCACAATTGCAGAATGACCTTTTTTATGGGCTAAGCCGGTAAACGAGCTGACGGATCACTTGATGGTAAGCAATCGGCGTCGCCCATGGACACCTGGAACATTAGCAGCTGTAGCCAAATGCCATTTAGTGCTTGTCTACTTGTAGGTTAGAAAACTAAATTATATGGAATTGACGTATATTTTGACACAGTCAGCAGTGTCATCCCCGTACATTTAGTTTTCTACTCTCTCTGTAGACAAGCGCTAAAGTGCAAGTGTTTGGCTAAAGGCACAGAGGCGTTACAAGTGCGTTACCGGGTTTTTGGGATTATGAATTTAAGGATTGTTGGGTATTCAGGGATAGGGACAGGGGGGGGGGGTAATTGGGCCCTCTCACCAAATTTGACAAATCGTGTATGTTATATTAGTTTAAAGCCTGTGTAAAATAAAAACGAGTACCCACCAATGTCATGTATACCGTGTAGTGTAGTGGTGACAGATTAGAATACATGATTTTGCTAACAACCCTATATACTCTTCCACAAGTTCTATAGCGGTGACTACGTAATACATATTCAACGAAGACCGGGCAACAGCGATTTCTGATAAGCTTGGATTTTGATCTCTAACCTGCTTGACAAACGCAGAAGTTGTGGCAAACCCTTCTTTGTTAAAAAAAGCTTATAGTCCAGTAAAGTACTCCCTCTCGCACGTTTCTCGTACACACGGGTGTAGAGAGAGAGTTAAGTGCCCATCGCGCAATTGTACAAACGGGTGTACGAGAAACGCGCACCGATTGGATATATTTTCTGTGACGTATATTTTCAAGTTGCAATTCGTTCTTTATTTGATTGAACAGAATAGTTCATTCGCTTTCTATTAAAATATTTACCCGTGTGTACGAGAAACGCGCATGGCTGTAAATGTGAAAGCCAGTGTGAAATGAGAAATGTTAGTGATCGATATAATTAAACTTTAATTATTTACCTGGTTCGAGATCTGGGGTATAAATTATGGCTTGATGCCAGCCGCGCCATATTGCGTACTCCAATACGAAGGGCAGTGGCGTTAGCGTCGATTCTGGGCAGTATGCATCTAATGGCAACGCATGCGCAAGCAATAGCATATAGATCACATAATATTGATTCATTTTAGGCACTTAAATGCATTTTGTGCGAACAAAACGATTTTAATTCTTAGACTAATTCACGTTAATTTGATGATATAAACTTATTATTATTTTTAAGCTTCTAATTGAATTTTGAGTTATTTTCGTATGTTATAAGGTCTCTAATACAAGAGATAACTTTATGCACTAAAATAATGAATAGTTTTCACACAACCTATATAAAAACACAAATAACTGTCACTCAGTTTAGAACCACACAACTAACGTTCATCCGACAAAGTGACATCTATAAAATAAAGAAACAACCATTTGATTAATGCATTGAAATTCCTATGGATGTGTCTCCCAGTTTATTCGAAAGTAATCAAAGATATTAATGAACGAACAACAATTACAAAATCGATAAATAATATAACTCAGTCATGTCAATTTATGATTGATGTTGGCCTTTATTCCCATTAAATCACTTAGCTATTCTGAACACAAACTCCGTAGGTTGAATAGTTATTTATTAACTTGTAGAAGACATTCACTCAATAACTTTATAAACATTTGTTTATAAAGTTATAAGTTTGTTATTACGTTCGTCCACCAGTTTTATGTATAAAAAATATTCATAGCTTTTCTATCACATAGAAACGCAGATGCAACGTGCATTTGGAAGATATTTTGGAAAAATTGAATACATACAGAACCAAATATATATAAAACCAACTTTTTATAGTGTTGTTAACCACTTCTAACACTAAGATAAAGTTTAAGTTTTAAACGGTGTTTTAATAATTAATAAGTAAAGTCGTTTGTTAAAAGAATTTGAATAACGACGATAAAATCGTCTATAGATTAATACATTTATGGGTTTATTTTTAAATGACTTTCAGTACACAGACAAAATTACATTTCGGTACCCTACCGAGATTGAGCTGAAACTTCGAAGGCAAGAAATACGTTCTAGTAATTATCTCATTTTTTTCAGTGAACAAAGATGGCCCCAATAACTTTTACAGAGACTGAGGTGATAGAACAGCCTATTCATGAGACTGATTACATACAATACAAGCTCTATCAGCCAGCAAAGGATACCAGAGACACAAATGGGATGAGCAACAGCAAATCATGTCAAATAAGTCCCTACGATCAAATGCTAAGCCCCCATGACCCCAAGTTCTTAGCCCCCATACGAAGACTGGAGAAAAGCCTAGGATTTATGACTCCGATTAGATGGTTCAATACTATTTCTATAAGCTTGATGCACATCATGGCGACTATTTGGCTCTTCAACTACATGTTCCTGAACAAAAGATCGCTAAAATGGCAGACTTTTCTGTTTGGTAAGTCAAATTCATGAATTTCCTATAATGAATACCTATATAAGTAATTTTTTTAATGGGACAAGCTCACCACAACCTCCCAAAACCGCTGCAACTACTGTAAGCCAGGATCTACAGTAGATACAACCATGAACACACCGGAACACTGAAGTCCGACAAGGCCCAGAAACATGAATTTTTGAAATTCAGTTTTAAGAGTAACATTGGCCATCATGCGTTATCAAAGGCTCCGGAAATGTCCAGAAAAATGCCTACTATATATTTATGCTCAGAGGAATTTACTATGGATCGGACAGAGCGAGCCGCGTCCACAGTAGACTTTCCTGCAGTGAGACCAAATCGACATAAGTCGATTATTGTTATTGTCAAAATTGTATAAATTGGAACTGTAAAACCGTATTGCAATTATTTTTCTTCAGCGTCATTTTGCAAAAAAATTCCCGAAAAAATGGTACACATGATAAGTAATATGAAGAGTATGATTGTATTGGTGGTTGTTAACCGAATTTGCCAACGATGTGGTTTTTCGATATGTTGTTTGGTTCTGTGTAGTTACTCGTATTAGGCTCTTTTATTTTAGAATAGGTACTAACTTTATGGGTATTATGTACTTATAAAGATAATACAAATATACAGGGTGATTTCTTATTACACCACAATCTCACATGTAAGAACTAATAATGATTATTATTAGTACAACAGTTTACTAATTGGCTTTATTACTATTTCGTTTTTCAGGATACCTTTTCGGCCTAGTAGCAGGGTTCGGAGTGACGGGCGGTGCACATCGATACTGGTGCCATCGCTCATACAAAGCAACACTACCTTTGCAATGGATTCTTGTCCTGTGTTATTCAGTGGCTGGTCAGGTAAGAAACAAATTCCTCCATAATTATGTATACCTATTCCTTACTCATTATTTTTGGCGAATCGAAACAATTGTATTCTTACGTCATTGTGACTATAAGACACTTAGACGCTCATTGTATATTACGACCACACTTTATTGTTCTCTGAAGAGCCAAAAAGATACTATAAACTTAGTTTATTTCCCAAGTTTTCTGTAATTTTTAGCTATATCGAGTACCATCGGTACTTTGATGGTCTGTCTAAAGTATATTAAACCCACAGAACACAATCTACGAGTGGGTTCGGGATCATCGAGTTCATCATAAATTCTCCGAAACGTCAGCAGACCCTCACGATGCCAACCGAGGCTTCTTCTTCTCCCACGTCGGCTGGCTGATGATGAAAAAGCACCCTGACGTGTTGAAGCAAGGCGTCAAGATTGATATGAGTGACATTGTCAATGATCCTCTTGTTCAGTTCCATACTAGGTCAGTATTTAATTCAAACTAAAAAATAAACGAGGTAAAAAAACCGAGATAATCACTAAAGCAAGTGGACTGTTGCTATGGCTATGGGCTGTATGTTTTTTTTATGAAATGTTTTGACTGACTGCCTCGTTGGCCGAGTGGTCGCAAGTGTGACTGCCGTGCAAGGGGTCTCGGGTTCGATTCCAGGGTAGGGCAAAGTATTACTGGGTTTTTTAAAAAAAATCTCAGTAATTGCACGGAGTCTGGAAATGTGCCCGGTATATTGCAATGGGCTCACCCCCTATTACATGGGACTCGTAACATAAATAGTGAAAAGTGGGTGTTACTTCTGTGTGCACCTGTGTGATGTTATGTTATGTGAAAGCTTTTTTGTTTGGATGTTTGTCCGTCAACCACGCTGAAACTACTAAACGGATTTTGATGAAATTACCTCTATAGGTAAAGAATATACAGGCTGACTTAGGAGATAGGATACTTTTATACCGATTTAAGACTTCCATGGGATAAAACAGGAAACATATTTTACGTGCTTTATATGTATAATAATGTTTTTAACTCGGTAACACCTGGATTGGAAATGAAGATAACTGATAATTTATCTAAAGTCAACATTACTATATATAACATTACTTTCATTACATTCGCAAACAATAGTTAAAGTCACATAGGTAAACAAATAGTAATACATTAGTCTAAATGTGTAACTTTGTTTATGTACAACATGTAACTATCTACAACTTATTACTTATCTACTTAAACCTTTTTCTTTGCTTCTTCTTAACACCTAAAGTAAGAAAGAAAGAAAGAAAGAAAGAAAAACATTTATTCGACACATTGCATGCACAGATATGTAGACAAAATGAGTTATAAATAAAAACAAAATTAAAACAAACAATAAACATCACAAAATTAACAAAAATAGATGCATGCACGTGTCGAACGGGCCTCCACCTCAGCATTATGTTGAGCGTGGTAACACTCAACGCTGATCTTCCGGTGGCACCCTGCAGTGACTCACGAATGGTAGGTGAGAAGACAAATAATATAGAAAATAAAAACAAACTGCATGTAGTGTGTTGGATACAAATACAAAATAATAAAAAAAATTAATAAATAAATAAAATGGTTCATACAAATAATATATTATTATTACAAATATGTACATGTTGCTACGAAGTAAGACGAAAAATAGCGGGAATAACACAAAGAAGTAGAAATTAAATATTAAATAATTGAAATATCTGCCTTGTCAAATTCAGCTTCCGTTGTGCGTCTATCATAAACTGACGTAAGCGTTTCCTGAACGTATAAATTGTGTTTATTTCTCTTATGGGTGGTGGCAGGTTATTCCATACTTTGGAAGCCGCATAACGAAAACTTCCTCGGAACGCCGCCGTACCGTGACTGTGACCCATAAGCTGCTGCGAACATTGCCTCCTTCCGCACTCTCGCCTGCTATTTACCCAGCTTAGCTTGTCATATAAATAGTCTGGTTTCTGGTGCTTAATAACACCAAACAGTAGACAAGCTAAGTGCAGTTTGCGTCTAGACTTCATTTTTAGGGTGAAGTGCCTGTTTAAAAATGGTGTTACGTGGCTTCTACGTGGAACATTGTAACAAAACCGAGCACAAGCATTTTGCACCCTTTGTATCAGTCGATCTGTACGAGCTAGCAAACGAGGGCCGTACACTGTGTCAACATAATTCAACCTAGACAAAACCAAAGCCTCGACAAGTTGTTCACGCAATGTTTCTGATACGTAAGGCCTTACCCTGTATAATACTTTGAGGCGGTAGAAACAATTACGTACAGACTCAGCTACATGCTTCTCAAAGCGGAGATCCTCATCCACCACTAAGCCAAGATTCCGCGCCTCATGCACTCTCTCAACTGGCACACCCATCAGTTCCACATTCAATGCTCCAGGCAGCCTAGCACGTTGATGCCTTGTGCCGAAAACCATAAATTTTGTTTTTGTTGGGTTTAAAGACAGGCAGTTATCCTCTGACCAAGCTGCAATTCTACAGAGATCCTCATTTAGGTCCATAATTGCACTTTCGTATGCATCCGGCCTGAAAGATATATAAACTTGAACGTCGTCAGCATAAATATGATACTTACATCTTGTAATACCCTTAATGATATCAGCACAGTACAAAATAAAGATGATTGGACCCAAAATAGATCCCTGCGGAACTCCTCGTTCGATACCTGTAAGGGCCGATTTAACAGAATTACCACCAGCCGAGTGTAATTCAACAAACTGCTTTCTATTTGTGAGGTAGCTACGAAACCACATCAAAGCATCAGGGCTAAAGCCATAATAGTTTAACTTGGATAGCAGCAGTGGTATATTTATTGCATCAAAGGCACGGGAAAAATCAAGTAAAACCAGTACGGTGCACATTCCCTTATCCTGAGCCGCCAAAATATTATCAGTGACATCTAGTAATGCCGAGGAAGTACTACGGTGTTTTCTGAAACCAGATTGCAAGTCAGGCAGCACGTTGTTTTGGTCCAGAAAAAGAGTCAATTGATGGCTCACCACTTTCTCCAGCAGTTTTGACAGACATGGTAAGATGCTAATGGGGCGTAAATCCTTGAACCGTGTGGGATTTGAAGCCTTGGGCAAAGGTCTGACAGAAGCAATTTTCCACAGGTCGGGAAAGGTTGACGTCTCAATTGAGCGATTGATTATTTGTGTAATGACTTGTAATGTGTGTGGCATAGTTAATTTTAGCATGTTCAGTGTAATGCCATCACAGCCTTCAGCGTTGCTCCTGAGACCAGCCACAACGCGCGCGACATCACTTACCTCCACTGGTGTGATCGTGAAAATTGCCTCACCACGCTTGCGGCCACTAAAGTAATTTATGAGTGCCAGACTTGCTACAGGATTACCTGGAACCGTCTCCAGGAAATGATTATTAATTAGGTCCGGATCAGAAAAAAGCGACGGAAGGTATTTTCCCTGTGCAGTAGCCAATAAGGTGTATTTTATGTTTTTCCACAAGGTCTTGGGGTTATTTCTTTTATTGTTTATATTGTGTTCGAAATAAGCAACCTTTTCCCTGTGTAATGAACTCACTACCAGAGATTTTAATTCTTTATAATAGGTTTTTTTAGAATCACTTTTCGTTTTTCTATAATTCCTTAAAGCGTCATCTCGCAGACGCATCATTAGTTTAATAGTATCAGTAATCCAGGGATACGACCTTTCCTTTACGGTGCATGTTTTTATAGGCGCATGAACATCAAACAGATATATGATAGAGGAGTTAAACATGTTAAACAAGTTAAAGTAATACCTACTATGCTAAAATAAGTAGGTAGTATCTTTTGCAAAGGTTGTTATGTTACTTTCTTAATTTCGTAGGTCTCCCGAAACATACAGGAAATTCATTTTGTAAGTTCCATGAACTTGTATCTAGTAATTTATAGAATAATCGAATTCATTATTCCACAAAGGATAACATGGAGCAAAAATGTTTTCTGGATCGGTAATTTAATTACGTAGGCGCTCCGTCGATATTTAGCGTTGCGTAATCAATTTTCAACCGACTTAAAAAAAGAGGTTCTCAGTTTCACCTTTATGTATGTTTTTGCGCGGTTTTGTCGCGATTTGCTGAACCAATTATGATGAGGTTACCAGAAAAGTGTTTTCTTATCCATAAGAGAAAGTTTCAGTATATTAATTAACCGAATTCAAAATAAGAGGGGGTTGAAGCCGTTTTTTTAAACGAAAAGAATTATTTAAAGAAAACTGTTCTAAGGTCAAGCCCCCAATTTAAATACGTCCTTGTTATATTACAGGCACTTCATGCTATTCAAGATATTATGCTGCTGGGTCCTACCATCGTTGGTACCTGCCCTCTGCTGGAACGAAACCTGGGAAGTATCCATAATGTCGCAGGCAGTAATCCGGTACTTGTTGAGCCTCAACTTTACCTGGTCTGTCAACAGCTTCGCACATCTGTGGGGCAACAAACCTTATGACAAGTATGACCTATTTTTGAGTACTTGTAAAATAAATTAAGGGAGTTTTTAAAAGGCTAGTCCATGTACATACAAAGCAATTAACTTAATGCTACTAGAAATTTCAAAATCTCAAAAGCAATTTGTTCTGTGTAAACTTAATCTAAACCTTCATTTCCCCCATTTAATTTCCTGGAAACCGAATAAGTTGAATTACATATACAAAATTCATGCTAGTTACTGATTATTTCCTGATTGATGATTTCAGAAACATAATGCCTGTTGAAAATTGGGGAGTTTCCGTGGTAGCGATGGGTGAAGGTTGGCACAACTACCATCATACTTTCCCATGGGACTACAAGGCAGCTGAACTAGGAATACCCATGAACATGACCACTACAATATTAAATTACTTCGCAAGTATTGGTTGGGCTTACGATTTGAAAGAAGCATCTCCAGCCCTTGTCAGAGCAGTTGCAAAGGCCCGAGGAGAACCAGCCGAAGACTAAAGCTGCCGCCAGCGACATCTATGGAAGAAATCTATTACATCGTCGCGTCAATTTAAATAATAGGGATCAATGTTGGATCGATAACTAATGTTTTAAATGTGGTCTAATAGGTATTTTAGTTGTAAGGGCAAAAGTGATCTTAGGTATTATTTATAACTAAATAAATTATGTACTTGGTATTCTTCGGTAAATTAAGTTGTAGGGTCTAAGTTAAGTTTTTGTGATTGCCTAGAAGGCGTTAGCGAAGGTAAGGATAATTGAATTTCAACACTTAGTTGGTTTGTGGTTTGGTATTCTTATCCTAAACTAAACTTTAAGAATGACTTATGTATGACTTTAAATATTTGTAAAACTTATACTACGTCGTTTAGATAAATATAGCCAAAACAGTCACAATTATAATTTTGCTGTGAACAAACTAGTAAATCATTCCATTATAAGTTTGTATTAAAGTCGTACGAGTACAATAACTGTTTTATGAAGTTAAACAAATTGTGCATTTGAGAATGTAGATACCTATAAGTCTTTTTATGAAAGTGTTTTTGTGAATACACGTTTTATAATCCAGAAAACTTATTTTTTCTTTATACCTCGTCTACATTTAAATGCCTAGACCTAAAACATAACGTCTTTTATTTCTCTAAGCTACATACTCATACGGCACATACCCATATTTTCGATAAATACTTTTTTGGGTAAATACTAGGATGTATATATAACTTTTCATCCATTTTGAGTATTTCAAACAAATACCCATCTCTATACCGGGAATACCTTGCTTGATATAATCGAGCTCGATCGATGATGCCTGTGTACCTCTAGATAAAAAAATACTGATAATGCAACAAACTAACTGTTTTATGATATTTGTCAATAAACACTTTGAAGAGACCATTGGTTGAAATTGTCATTGGATGCTTAATGTGTCAAATCGGATCTTCATGTTATATGAGAGCTTTGGGTATTATTCTTCAGGATCACAATTGCATTTAGTTTCATATTTTGAAATACTTTTTTTGTTTTGTACATACACATTTATAAAAACAAAGCTAAAGGTTGGTGTAAGTGGAAAAAATATAATAATCTTTTAGATTGTGAGCAGTTTGCGTTGTATAGGTCGAGATTTCAGACTGAATGTAAGATCTGTTACAATAAATATATTAATTCTGTTGAGGATCGCATTAGAATGAACATTAAGTGGTTTTGGAAATACATATCGAATCGTAAATCCACTACTAGCATACCTTCTAATATGACTTACAGTTTATGAGGAGTCTACCCTGCATAACATGCATGATAACGCATACAGAGATGGCTCCAAAGCTGTTCATTGCTCAGTAACATTGAGTTTAATGTCAATCAAGTACTAAGGGCACTAAAATAATAAAATGTCTTCCCTACTTTATTGAAGAGTGCAAACATAACGCCAGTTTATAAGTCAGGCTTTCAGCAGGATATCAAGAATTATCATCCTATATCGATACTGTCCACTTTGTCAGAGTTTATTCCTTCTTTTACAATCAAATAATACAGGAACAACACGGATTCGTAAAAAGAAGGTCCACTACAAGTAATTTGGTTGATTTTGTAGATTATTTATTTAATAATGTGGACTCGCATTTACAGGTCGACTCAATATAAACAGATTTTCACAAAGCTTTTGACAAGGTTGATTACTAACAACTCCTGGCTAAGCTTACCTTCAATGGTGTACACGGCGATTTGCTAAGATGGTTTGCTTCTTACGTCTCAAATCGAACCCAGAGGGTTGTTATCAATGGTTATAATTCTGTTACGATAGAAGCTACATCTGGAGTATCTCAGGGATCGATTCTTGGGCCTCTTCTTTTTATATTGTTTATTAATGACATAAACGACTGTTTTAAATATTCCAAATTACTCCTTTACGCAGATGATCTAAACATTTTTAAAATCATAAGAACCTTTCATGATTGTCAGCTATGACAAGAAGACCTAGATAGATTTGGTCAATTAAAATTATTGCGATAAAAATAAACTAAAACTTAGCATTCCAAAATGCTGTTGTATAAGTTTCAAAAAGAATAAAAAGATTATTAGATATCCGTATTCCCTAAATAATGCTATTTTATTAAGAGTGCCCATGATCTCTGAGTTTTAATGGATGATAAACTATACCTAGATGCACACATAAGTAAGATTGTCGGTATGAGATCGTCAACGGAGTTTTTACGCCCAAGTACATACTTATATCTTTATAAGTCTTTGGTCAGGTTTCAGTTGGAGTATGCAGTACCAGTGTGGAATCCCTTTTATATTAAACTAGCGACCCGCCCCGGCTTCGCACGGGTGCAATACTTATATAAAAATACCTACTACAAAATGTCCTTATACACCACATTCACAGCTATTTTGTCATTAGACAATACAAACATGTTTTATATTGATATTTTTCTCGCTAGAGTTTCTCTAGAGGTATATATGTATTATACATATAAACCTTCCTGAAGAATAACTCTATCTTTTGAAAAAAAACCGCGTCAAAATCCATTTCGTAGTTTTAAACATCTAAGCATACATACGGACAGACAGCCTGTGACTTTGTTTTATACTATGTAGTGATATTCAAATAGGATAGAAAAAATATTAAAAAAAAATTAAAAATCGTTCATCATCACTATTTTCGTGTACTAGCTATAATGACTTGCTGAAAAGGTACAAACTCCACGGTCTTCAGACTAGGAGATTAATATTGGAGACTATGTTTTTGTATGATTTATGTAAGAATGCATATGACTGTATGGACATTTCCAATCGAATGCGGTATGTACTGCCCAGAACAACAGTGAGCCGTGCGGTGCGCTCGAGACCTGTATTCTTCATTCGCTCATGTCATACTAATGCAGGCTTAGGGCACCTTTACGTCGCATCGCTGATCAGTACAATAAATAATTTAGCTAGGTACATTGATTTGTTCGAAGCGTCTAAAAATAAATTCAGAAACCTTGACCGGGAATCTGGTAATGATCGGCCTCATTAATTATTTCATAGATACATTTTTTCCTCTAATGTGTTTTTTTATATATCCATTTATACATACAATGCATATTCATTAACTGTTATATTTGATTAATTAATGTTATGGCTTCATAACATAACATCACGCCTTTTATCCCTGAAGGGGTAGACAGAGGTGTACATTATGGCACTGTACAATGTAACACCCAATATCGCTTCCTTTTTACAAATGTAAAAATTGCTAATTTATATACATTGTAAACTATAATTCATAACTGTATCAGTTTTGTTTGTGAATTTATGTATGTAGTGTGCCTACCTAAATTGTACGACTTCTTTTATCTACTTTTTTTTTGTATTCTGCGGAGAATATCGTTAGTTATACATTTATTCTATACTTCGCTATTCATCATCAACAACCTATACATGCCCACTGCTGAGCAAAGTTTCTTCTCACACGGAGAAGGTTTGAGCATTAATCACCACGCTTGCTCATTGCGAGTTGGCGATTTCAAACTTATCATTAGAAATTATAAGTCCAAGTTTCCTCACGATGTTTTCCTTCACCGTTTGTCAGTGGTGTCTAAGTAATTTTAGAAAGTACATATAACTCGGAAAATGTCACATTGATACTTGCCGTTGGTAGGTTTCGAACTCGCACCCTCATGCATGAGAAGCGGGCGTCTTAACCTCCGGGCCGTCACGACATTTACTTTGATATTTGTTATAATGTATTATTGTAGTGTATAATTGTTAATTTTACCAAATAAATAAAATAAAATAAGTACGTGATATGATGCCTAAACAAATAATAAGAAAATATTTTCATTAGGATTCTAAGAAAAAGCAATGAACTGTGGTCACAATAATTAGCGCCTGACAAAATGATTACGGCAATTTGTTAAGTGTAGGAGAGCCGTGCTTCGACACAGTATATCAACTCAGTAAAAAAATCAAGTCAATTTCTAACAAAACAAACAGACGTAAATAAATTTATAATATTAGGTAAGTATACCTTCCTATTATTATTTTTTTCTTCTATGGCAATTGAGCCTCCACTATTTAGTAAGATTTAGTAGTTGATTGGGAGGGTGATTATACCTTCCTATGTTATATCTGACATATTTTTGACAAGTGAGTTTCAGGCCAATCAATTATTGAGTTATTGTTCCGAGGATTATTGACAATTTATTTTTTTATATCAGGATACAACATTAAGGTAGATATGCAAAGAGGCTGAATACTAGTTTTTTAACCGCTAACCCAACATCCGTAGAATTATTTAGATCGTAAAATTTGTTAGAATGGTATGCAACATTTAGCTATTTTCGTTGAATAAAGGTCGTAACAGGCACGTCTCCAACCCAGCATTAACTTGTCATTTAAGTATGAACTTTAAATCGTATGTCGTATGATATGTTTCATAACGTCAATAGAATATTGAATTTAAAAAGCAATGTAGGGAGTGTCATACTATTTTAGAATCCTTATTAAATGCTCCAACTTTGGTGAAATTTGCCACTACTACCGCAGTACAATATTTTTTCAGTAGTCACTTAAACAAAGGTGAAAATTTTATTGAGAATAAATGGTTCATCAAAAAATTGTATTCTTTTCTAAACTAAAGCAGTACGTTCAGAATTTATAATTCCATAATACTAAAGCACTATTCAGGATAATGGTAGCAAACATACAGGTGAAAAAAAATGTAGCAACAGGAGTCAAAAGACTGGCTACTGACTAGTACTTTTTCGTGGATAACACATAAGTCATTGTAATTTAAAAGCTAATATGACTTGGATTTTTTAAAATATTTTTCTGATAGCTGTAGGAACCTTGCCGACCACCTGGTGCCATTTGATCGTCGACTTCAGGGACACCTGTATGTATAGATAGATTTTGCCAGCGGATCCGCTCGCTTTCCCGGGGGTAAAAATAAAAATTACATTCGAAATGATTAAACAATACACCTTTATTTTATGAATATTACAATATAATTTTGATCTCATTACTTTTATTGGTACTTCGTAATACATATTATCTAATATAATATATGTAAGTATGAATTTTTATCACTTCTAGTCTAAAAATATCTCACAAAATCCTTTGAGAATCAACTAACAAGTAAGATCAACCATAAAACATTCACTTATATTCTTTTAATAATGTCAATATATCTACTTACATTGGCAATTATTAAAATGTGCCAAATAAATAGACTTATTTTTGAAGACATAATGATACAGTGGTTGTCGAGGTATATCGTTTCCTATATGGATGAAATAGTTATAAAAATATATATTTCCCACCCTGATCCTCTTTAATTATAAGTATTAAACAAAATATCAACTAATTTTAACAAAGAACCAACCAAACTGTGTTACATTTGAAGTCAGTTTGCAAATCTATGATTTTAATAATCTGTGTCAACTAGTAAACTATATCAAAGATGGCCGCCTGTCAAAATGACAGTTGAGATGATGTAAAGTAACACAACATGGCTGCAGGTACATAAACCTCAAAGTTTTAGCTCACATCTGTATTTAATAAAAACTTTAAGAAATTAGTGTCGACTGTGTCTATTTATAACTATAATATTATTAACAATAATGTAATCTACACTGTAGTAGTCACACTTGTACTTATATTTAACAATAACAAATAAAGATTTTAATAATATTATTTGGACAGAACAACGTGTAAAGATTTTAACAAAACTAAAGCATTTAACAAAATACATTTTCATGTCACAATGACAAAAGTATTATTAATAATAAGTACTTATTAAATAATAATCTAAGATTCAATTAGTATTGAAACTATCTCGATTGGAAGTACTTTACGGATTGTAATAAGTACGATGACATTTAAGGTAGGTATTTAATGATATAATAATTAATCACCCTGTGCAACAAGCATAGTGTAGAATATAATTATGGCAATTTTTGACTTATTACGAATTACAGAAGATTTATTTTCCCTTGCTGTATATCTGCAAGAACAAGTGATACTTTGTCATGTGGAATTAAAATTTCTAATTACTTTATTTGAATTACGGTCCTTTTTCACCCCAATTAGTATCTCATACAGACAATAAAGTTACCTAACACAAATTGTACAAAAGACGAACTCGTATGTGTTAAATATGATTATATAATTTTAAATACATTATAAAAATCGTGGGTTGTATATTTATCTTTTGTATTTTAATAATACATTACTCGAATAAAAGTTTTTTTTTTTCAATATTTTGCACAAGGTCTGAGATTTTTTTGGAAGTATTTCATTCGGAGTGACATTTGACATCTGAAGTTGGGTATGGCTCTTCGGACTCTCCAAAAGTTCCGTCTCCGCATCGTTTAGCCCTGTTTGATATCATATCGGTTGTAGCAGCTTTTACTGAAACAAAAACATTACCATATATATTAATTATTATGAACTGCCATGCATAATCATGTCTTTAGTTCCGCAAGGGATGGATGGAGATGCAAAAATTCAGTTTTTACTTTGTTTTCATTCCTATGCATATAATGTGAAATAATGCAACAGTGAGTTGTTATATCGATAATTTTTGAAAAACCAATATGTCCTTATTGTTTTTTCTCTAACCCGGGACTCGTATCAGTTCAGAGATTACGGCCACCACTCGATCCAACATATCTTTAAAAAAGTGAATACGTTAGACAAATTTTAAATTGTTTTATATTCGTATATTATATGATTGCCTCTATGGCCGAGTGGTTGCAAGTGCGGGTGCCAGGCAAGGGGATTTTTCCAGTTCGGGCAAAGTATTACTGGTTTTTTTTTAAATCTCAGTAGTAGCACGGAGCCTGGAACTGTGCCCGGTGTATGGTAATAGGCTCACCCTCTATTAAGTATATGGATCTCATAACATGTGGTAGGGTGTATAAGTGGGTGTAACATTGTACAGTGGCATTAAGTGCCGTAACGTGCACCTCTGCCTACTCCTTCGGGGAGAAAAAGGCGTGATGTTATATTATGTTATTAGTATATTATTGTTTATTCTAGTAACGCATATGCATCTAAACAATGAAAAATAATTTCACTTTGAATTGAACAATGACATACAAATTAGCAATCTTAATAACTAGTACTTTAACTGTAAATTGATTGATAGATCCTGAATATATGTGTGGCGACGCATGCCACATGTTAACGGATGACGTCACAAGAATCCTACATCGCACATGCAAAGTTTACAAGCGAATAAACACGGATAGAAAATCCCAACGAACAACTGTGGGGCAGAAAGCCCGCCAGGCACGATCACCTCGCCTGTTCGGAGGATCCTCCTTTTCCGATCTTAGGGAACTATACACTCTGTTCCCTAAAGTGGTGACCCCCGACGTGATTGGAAGCAACCTTCACTTCACGGAGCAGATCAGCACCGTCATCCGTATCGCCATCCCTCTCATTCATCACTTCCCCGCTGAGCGGTAATCAAGTCGCAGCCAACCAGCATCCTCGGCCTCATCAGGGACAATCATCGCCTGCAACGAAGTTGTGCAACCTGGTTCTTCCCTACGGCCTCACCAGCGTCTAGGCACAGCACTTCTGCACACGGTTCTGAAGGACATCTCCTCCCGTCAACGCAGATGCCGGCCACTACGCACCTACCCTCGCAGCATCTCTTCCCCGACTCACCGTGGGACACTGCGAACTCATCTCTCCGACTCACTGGAGTTTCACCCTGCACCGCTGACCCGACTCACTGGGCACTCAGCGGCACGGTTCCGACCCACTGGAACTAGGGACGTTCTACTCTGGCGCCACTCATCTCAAGCATCGACAGCTGTCTCAGCGGGATCGACCTCCGGTCTTGGGAGGGAGTGATGTGGCGACGCATGCCACATGTTAACGGATGACGTCACAAGAATCCTACATCGCACATGCAAAGTTTACAAGCGAATAAACACGGATAGAAAATCCCAACGAACAACTGTTGGGCAGAAAGCCCGCCAGGCACGATCACCTCGCCTGGTCGGAGGATCCTCCTTTTCCGATCTTAGGGAACTTTACACTCTGTTCCCTAAATATGTATACACTTTGAAAATTTTTGTTTGCTTTTGTTTTGTATATTGCTCTCAGATTTATCGTTTAGTAATGTTTGTTTTTGATACAGAATAAAAGTAAAGCGGTACACGGCACACGTCTTGTTTTCTATTATTTTTTGGTAGAAAAAAGAAAGAAAGAAAAAAAAACCATTTATTTTTGCGCAGAACACACATAACATAAATAAAAAATAAAATTATATAAAAGCTAAAAAATGAAAAATGAAGAATGATAATTCAAATGATTTTTGAATGAACGATTGTTTAATATAAATACGATGGTGTAGACCATTTTTAATTCCTTTGTACGGAATATATTATTTATTTTCCACTGCTGCGTAATTTTGTTCTGTTCTATATAGACATGTTTGAGCAGTGTGTTTCGTACGCGTACAATTTAATAACTGTTATTTTATTATTTAACTATTAATCGAATGTCCATCGCCAAAAATGCCGAATATTTTTTATGTTGACGTCCATATTTTTGTGCGTCATCTAAAAAGTTTATAATGTTACATTTCTAGTTGATTACCTACACATTGTAGCACAATATTCTGTGATACTATATACTAAAATATATTTTTCCTAAAATATTAATATACCTAATACTTACAATCATAAGCCCATCCAATCTTGGCGAAAAAGTCAATGAAGCCTGTGGAAATGTTCAGTTTGCCCAACTCCGAGGTCCTGTAGTCCCAGGGAAAAACATGGTGGTAGTTGTGCCAACCTTCACCAAGAGCTGCCAAACTTACTAGACTATTCTCCACTGATTTCACGAACCTGAACAAAAAAGATGATCTAAAATGAAAGATTAACATTGTAAGCTCTATAATCTAGTTTTAACTCAAATAGTATAAAACTTTTTAAGTCGGATTACAAGTAGGTAGACGTTTTAGAGTTCCATCCATTTAAGACTTCACTTCTAAATTTTAATTACTATCCGTCTAGAGATTGGGTGGCGTTTACCCTCGTCTCTGGGAAATCACATCAAGCCATATTGATTCTGTGGCTCACATCTCCAGTCCTGTCGGATTACTGATTCATCGGATCATAAGACTGAGGTAACAGAGGGTTAAACATTACCAGCGTGTTGTGGTACCGTAGCTGTAACCTACTTTATATGTTCTGTGCTGTAGCCACTCTACCCGATTGCAAGCATTGCATGCGACCTTCGAGACACGATACGCCATGCAAGTGTGTCTCTAACCCATAATAAATACACGGTTGGTGCGGTGTAATAGACTAGAATAGTCCAGCCACTGCACCAACCGTTCGCAACCGGCTGCCGTGCAATGTGTCGCGTGTTCGATTCCCGCACGGAACAACACTTTGTGTGATCCACGAATTGTTGTTTCGGGTGTGGGTGTCATTGTGTATGTGAACTTGTATGTTTGTAAACGCACCCACGACACAGGAGATAATCCTAGTGTGGCGCAGCATTTAAAAAAAAAAACCTACATATATACATATATCTTGCAGTATCGAAATACTGCAAGGAATCTTAAATCTAAGTAAAAAAACATAGTACCTAGGTAACTATTTGTAGTATATACTTATACTATGTACTAGGTACTATGTTTTTGCACAAGGACTTTATTATAGTTCAATGTTTTCATAATTTCATTGTAATTGAGCCATATTAAGGACCTTCGTTAACAGACGAGGTACATAAAGACTTCTATAATTGGTATTATAAAAAACAAGCGGCTAAAAACAAAGTACGTGAGAAAACATATAAATGCTCGGCTTTATTATTTTTGTAGTATTGTGCGGTGTACACAATAGGAAAAACAATGCTAACAATATCAGCAATTTACGATATTGGTCGTAAAATAGGTGCTGGCTACTTCCTATATATAAGTATAATTTTATGGATAGTAAACCGTAATGAAGCGGTTGGAAATAACATCATTACTATACAGTATCCTTGTAATAATATTGAATTGAAGGTAATATTTGTCATGTTACGAGGTTTTTTGTAAACCCTTGAAATATATTGCTATTAATATATTTCTGAGTCATTTCATTTTGATCCTAAACTAATGTTGACTTTGTTGAATATCCTGCACACGACATTTTTTAATAGTTTAACCTACATTCGTGATTTGATAGTTACACCCTGATTCAATCTTACTTTATTTATTTTCTTTACTTTGTTAGTTGGTTGGTTTTTTAAAATATTTAATTTATATGTTTAGGTTGATTAATATATGAAACATAATGTTTTTATAACATTTAAAAATATAAAAAGTAGTAGCCCACCAGTAACGGGAAACTAAGCTACGATTAGGGCTGGTCTCTCTGAGAGAGGAATTTCCTGACAATTCGCGCCGTACTTAATTACAATCTAACTTTAATTATTACAATTACAATATTGATAATTATACTAAGCGTGTTGTTTATTTCACAAGAAGCTCCACTTTCATTTGAAATTGAATTGAAAACTGAATTTTGAGACTAATTGAGACACTAGTGTATGTGTCGATTGTTGAGAAACAGATATTTGTTTATTCTTCTTAAATGGCAACCGGGACCTCAATTTAATGTATTCGACTATAAACTGATTTTGATTCTTCCTTAAAGTATTACGTGTCGATTAAAATATATTTTTTCCATTTGGTTTTTAGAAAATACTGCAGCAAATATGAAACGTTTTCAAGTATTCAATAGTTATAAAGCTCTTAGCTCTTGAATAGTGTATGAAATTAAATTTTATGCCACTTACAAAGTTTTTAGAAACACAAAGAGTGAGTAGGTACCCTCTTACCAGCAGGGTGTTTTGTAACGAGTTACATTCCAAATAAATAATATAATTTGAAACTGAATACTTTTAGTTTACATTTAATTTTCTACCTAGGTACGTTGTAATTTTCAAACTAAAATTTTTACGATATGAAATACCAAAACCAAAACCATAACAAAATCAATTTTACTCTCAGAATTTTGTTATTAATTCACCAATATAAAAACGCTTAAGAACAAGTCGCAAGTAAATAAAGTACCTACAAAATTATTTATAAAAATACTATATGTCTCCCACCTGTCATAAGGTTTATTGCCCCAAAGATGAGCGAAGCTGTTGACACAGAAGGCGATGTTCAGCGTGATGGTGAACCTCATCACGAAGCTGATGACGAAACTGTTTATCAGGGTCTCGTTCCAGCAGTACCATGGCACCCAGATAGGTATCGCGATGTTCAGCAACGCGAACAATGGAATGAAGAATCTAGAAAAAAATAAACACATGTACATTTCTTATGTATTACTGATAATAGTCGTGTGGGAGAGCCTTGCTTCAGTATGAATGGGTCGGAGTAATATTACAGCCTCACAAAACCGACGTGAAACAACGCTTGCGTTGTGTTTCGTCGTGTGAGTTACTAGAGACCCAGTTACCCCCTTCTCCAATCTCCATCTCCGAATCCCCACAATCCTAAATTTCCTAATCCCCAAATGCCAATGCAAAGCATTTGTAATGCGTCTGGTATTTTGGGTCTCCATGGGCGACGCCGATTGGTTACCATCAGGTGATCCGTCGGCTAATTTACCGGGACATCCCATAACTCAGTAAATTAAAAAAAATATACGTACTCAAATACATTACATAGTGATTAAATATATTTAGCTACATACATAATTATGTAAGTATTACGTATATTATTTTATCAATGTATATTATATAATGGCTATTAAGTAAAATTAATTTACAAAATACTCGCTTGTTATATCAGTTGAATTTTAATAAAGTCAAGTGGAGTATAAACTGTAACTGTACTTAAAAATATTTTACTCTTAAATTTAAATTAAATTCAAATCATTTATTGCGAATATAGGTCAAGTGTAGATGTTACAGTAGGTATTATAAAATAATTTGATCAGCTACATTCTGCCAATTAGCATGCAATACTTATTTGTGAAAATTACAATTTATTATTTATTACTTACATTATTTGAATTAGTCATAAGAAAATATTAATTACAATTACAATTTATTATTTATTTATTAATTACATTGTTTAAATTAGTCATAAGAAAATATTAATTACAATTACAATTTATCATTTATTATATTATTTAAATTAGTCATAAGAAAATATAGGTAGATGTCACAAGTAGTCCAAGACGATAAAATTAAGTCATTATTATCATAAAAGAATTAATATCATTGAGTCATAAACACTAAGCAAACCCAAAACTCAACTGAATTTGTCATTAAGATAATTGTTTACATTGTAATATGCCTTATTAATAAGTAATTGTTTTAATTTAAATTTAAATGTTCCTAAGTTTGAACATCGCAATATGTCAAGCGGGAGATGGTTGTAAATACGAGGTGCCATGCAAAATATACTATTACTAAATTGAGCAGTTTTGTTTGATGGAAAGCATATCTTCTTACCATGTCGTTTGCTCTTTAAATGATCAAACATTGAAATATGCAGCTTTACAAATATGGCTACCTCATAGATATAAATACATGGTAAGGTTAACAAGTTTAACCTAATGAATGCGGGTTTACAACTCTCTGTAGGTGTAAGTTTACATATTGCTCTGACACATTTTTTTTGAGCTTTAAACGCAATGTCTTTGTCAACCGAGTTACCCCAAAAGATGACCCCGTACCTTAATAGTGATTCAACATACCCGTGGTATGCAGTAATAACAGCAGATGGGTTCACTACTTTGCCAAGCATATACAGTGCATAAGAGAATTGACTTAACTTTGTACATACGCTTTCAACTTGAAATTTCCAATTCAAACCGCTATCAACATGAAGACCCAAAAACTTTGCAGTCTCCACTGCGTTAATCTTACATCCATTAAATTTTATGTCAATTTGTTGCAAATTATTTTTCCTGTTCCTGAATGTCATAATATTAGTTTTATCTAAATTTATTAGCAAATTATTATAGGTTAACCATTGAATTATTGTACCAAGAGTATAATTAATATTTAGTTCTACGTCATTTTTATTTTTGTCACTGAACATAACTGTGCTGTCGTCTGGTCTGCAAATAAAACCATATCATGGTCAATAAAATTAGGCAGATCATTGATATAAATGATAAATAATAGGGGGCCGAGTACACTGCCCTGTGGAACCCCTTGAAGTGTCTTACTGAAATCGTTTTGCCTTTTGCAGTAGTATTTCCAGAGTAAATCCATTTGCATTAAAATTTCCTCGCATTGAATTGTAGTATACAGTTTACGCAATTGGTTTTAAGTATTTTGTGAATGGAAACATTTTACTTAGAAAGTCATGTATAATATACATACATAATCTCACGCCTGTCTCCTATTGGGGTAGGCAGAGACTATGAAATATAATTATAGTGTGACCACTGTATACATAGGTATATAGATACTATATATGTATTGTTCGGGAAATTAAATGATTTTTGATTTTGATTTGATATTTGATAGAGTTTACATAATTCTGGAAAGACAGAGGTAAAAATATTAAATGTAACATCCACTTTGAGCTAGTTTTAAAAGAGAAGAATTAATAATTATTAATATGTGATACAATCTGATCGGACTAAATGGAATCTGACCGGAAGCCGAAACGTGGGCAGGCCATTATGTGGACCGACGACATCGCCAGAGTTGCGGGGAGCTTGTGGATGCAGGTGGTGAGTTTTTGTTAGACGTGGAGGACCAAGGGGGAGGCCTTTATCCAGTAGTGGACGTCTTTCGGCTGTTGATGATGATCATGACAACCTGACGTAGCCTTCGTCTTCAATGTAATGTTCAAACTGAATAAATTTACAGCGTCTCATGTCGTCATCATCATACCAGCCACACGGCCTCCGCAGCTGAACTAATGACTTCCAGATAAACCACTGCTCAAATAGGAGACTTACCGCTGCAATGATAGTGAGCCAATACCCTGCCTAGCGTACAAACAAGATACTGTGACATGCTATGTAGTAACCAGTATAAATAAATATTGAATATGTGATAAGAATAACTGACCCAAAATCCCAGAATACTGACTAGACGAAGCCAGTGAGAAATATGCAATATAGAATATTTTTAGCAAATAATGCAAATGTAATGAAATTCAGGAATAGTTTGAGTAAACCTAAATAAGTATGTACATCCATACGTCGTTGAATCGGTGTCAACAGTCGGTGACATAATATTATTGTATTAATTCCACTGTTGGATTATGACCCTCCTCTGTGCGATACCCATATAAAAAGGAAGAGTAGACTTTAATACTAATATTATCCAATTAACGAGGCATTTGATTACGTAGCAATGAATTTTGCATTCGAATTACCAAGTGTTTAAAATATATATTAATCCATAAAATATATACAAAGAGATTTTCGTGATAACTTCGAATTAATGAGAGATTCAAATGAATTATCTAAGGTTTGAATGAATTAGAGTCGACTGTATACAGAAAAGCGATAAATTACGTAACGCGCGTTCACAGCAAGCGGCCATCAAAAGCGATTGGTACGAATGAACGATGCCTAAATAAAGGGGTTTTAATTAAAATGGTCCTTTCCTATCTTATACTTATTATATAAAGCGGAAGAGTTTGTTTGTTTGTTTGTTTGAACGCGCTAATCTCCGAAACTACTGGTCCGATTTGAAAAATTCTTTCCGTGTTGGATAGCCCATTTATCTAGGAAGGCTATAGGCTATAAAACATCACGCTACGATTAATAGGCGCCGAGCAGAACGAGTGAAACCGTGCGGAAGTAGCTAGTGTCTTTGTAAAACAAGAGACGAACCAGAATCGAATACCTTTCTAATGCAGTTATGTATAGGCATATTGAATGTATTATATATTATATTGTACACATAAATATGATGTGCGTAATCTAATTTTATTTATAAATTAATATTAAGTAGTCGATTGAAGTCCGAACCATATTAAACGACTTATTATTTATGGCCTTGGTTCAATTTGTTGAAGAACTTTTGCGGTGATAGAATATTTCAACGAGATAAAAGAATAATAATAAAATAATTATGTGCTATTATTAAGTTATAGGTCGTGACTACTTCTCTTTACAAATATTGTAAGCGATTTTATTTAATGTTTTGGTTTATAAGGCTGAAGTTACATTGATTGACAATTAAATTTTGACGTTTCAAAAGTAGGTACCTAAGAGGATGAATTAAAGTAAAGGCTTCGAATTAATTTTACACGAATTAACAGTCTGTTATTTACTAATTGAAATATTAATGAATATATCAGTTCAAACACAATGTTTATATAGAAACATTAAAACATTTTTGGTTACTGCTCCACAACTATAGGATCTAGCGTGATATTATATAGCCTATGTTACTTCTGAATAATGCAGCTTTCGAATGGTGAAAAAATTATTGCAATCGGTTCAGTAGTTTTTGAGTTTATTCATTACAAACATACAAAAATACAAATCTTTCCTCTTTATAATATTAGTATAGATATAGACGTGCGGTCCATGGCCCTCTACGGCGCCCCTGTTTGGGCGCCTAACCTGTTGCGGCGTCCCGCTCGGACGCTGCTCATGGCACAGAGGGTCATGGCGATCCGAATGATCCGCGGATACCGCACGATCTCTGGGGAGTCGGCGAACCTCCTTGCCGGATTACCGCCGTGGGATCTGGAGGCGAAGGTGCTCGCGCGCGTGCACAGCATGCGCGCGGAGGCACGTCGCCGGGGCGAAACTCCGCTGCCGCGCCAGATAAGTGCGTGGCGGGATGAGCTCCGGCGCGATCTCATGGCGGAATGGCAGCAACGACTGTCGCAACCGAGGACTGGGCTCGCTGCCATCGCAGCGGTAAGTCCCCTCTTTGAGGAGTGGCTTGAGAGACGCTACGGCGTCCTCACCTACCGCCTGACGCAGGTCCTCACCGGACATGGCAGTTTCGGGAGGTACCTGTGTCTGATGGGGCGGGAGGAAACGCCCGGGTGTCATCACTGCGAGGACCGCCCTGAGGACACGGTGGAACACACGGTGGGAGAATGCCCTTCGTGGGCTGAGCACCGCCGTGTCCTCAGGGAAGTGATCGGCGATGGCGACCTCTCGCGTCCGGGCCTAGTGCAGGCCATGATGCGGAGCGAGGGGGATTGGGATGCCGTCTCCTCCTTTTGCGAAGCAGTCATGCTAGCTAAGGAGGAGGCGGGACGCGTGAGGCAGCGAAGCGCTGCCTCCTCGCAACCCAGCCATCGCGAAGGACACACCGGGCGTCGGGGATCGCGGGACGATCTCCGGCCACCGTAAGCGCGGGCCTGCGGACGGCGAGCATGGGTGGCTCCCCGTCCGACCAGAAACAGACCCGAGCGTACGGCGCGTCGCGTTCCGCGCGCGCCTCAAAGAGCCATCAGACCACCACAGATGGGGTCCAATAGGGCCGATGCCGATTCGGAGTCGCGGAGAACCTAACGGGTAACCGGGGCTCCGGCTCGACGTGCAGGAGAAGGAACGGGGTGGTTTTTAGTCAGTAAGAGTCTGACACTCCCTCCCGCCTCACCCAGGCGGGGGCAGTCATTCGATGATTTTCCCCCCTTAAAAAAAAAAAAAAAAAAAAATATAGATATAGAAGTATAGATTTATATGAATGAATAAGCAACCATTAAACGTAGTAACACCGTTTCTTTTGAGTAATTCCAGTGAAGTTCAACAAACGGTGAAGTTTCAAACCATTTCTACCGTAAAACTCGAATCTAGATGAATATCCTACAACTGTCGATGATTACAGGGCATAAATTGTAAGACATGAAAGTTTCAGAACGTTATATTCCAATCTTGATATCGCGTACGAGATGTACAAAATTCTAAACCTAAATTTGAAAGCGCCAAGCTATTCGAAATCGATTTAGGATTCATGTTGAGAGATAAATTTGACCCGAAACTTTTATCTTTTTTGCCCGAAACCGATCTTTCTAAAATTGTTACGTAATGCCAGGTTTTTTTAAAATCTGTAATCTAGTTTCAGTTAAAAGTGTTTTCATTTCATTTTCTAAGGGGTGAGCTTAGCATACTCCAGGCAATTCAAAATTAGGTATGACCTACTAAGAATTAAGAAGAAACCTCCTAATATAACATACGTAACATTTACAATTGAAATGATAACAGAAAGAAATTACTTCAGTAAGTTACAAACGGGCCCCTCTTATGCCCGGTTTTACCAATCTTTACTTTTAAAGGAACCTTTGAAGTGAGATTTAACGACATATTGGTTTTAAACACCTAAAAGTACAAGCTAAAGGGTAGTAAAAATTACTTACTGTTTTTGTAACCTGACTACTGGATCAGCGAGTAGATCTGCACATGTAGGTTTTAGTGCAATGCGGCGGTCTTCCACAGCCGGATGTGGAGTTAACACCAGCCAACCGACGTGGGCGAACCAAAATCCGCGCCTGATGTCATGAGGGTCTGCCACCGTCTCCGCATACTTGTGGTGCACTCTGTGGTCCAACGCCCATGTGTATATATCACGCTGTAAAAAAAAACATTTGTTTGAAAAAGAACACAATACTTTATTTCTACCCTCACCATTTTGGCCGTCACGTTATTGATGAATCACTTATTTTATTGATTGTGATTATGGTAGTCAATAGAAGTCAAATATGAATTAAAAAATAAAAGCAAATTAATTATATTTCTGTCCTTGTCATTTTGGATGTGACGTCATTGATGTGTCAATTGTTTTTATGCTGGCAACGTAGCAGAAGACCAATAATTGCATCTATAAGGCAAATTCGATATATGTTTTTCCTTGTCATTTCGAGTGTGACAACATTGGTATCGCAACGATATTAGCTCTCTATTTTTGATATTTTCTCTTCCGCAAATAAGGCATTCTAAAGGGAGCGAGAGGAGCAGGATATGTTTTTTCTTTTAGACATATAATAAAAAAACCTGCGTGCTACAACTGAAACTAATATATCGGCTAGTCATTGTTATTGTTCAAAAGTCATCAAGGCCAAATTCAAATGTCAATAAACTAATATGTCATTAGTAACGAGCTGTTTAACAATACTTTGGGTGATTTTTTTTTATGGCATAAGCCGGTAAACGAGCAGACGGATCACCTGTTGATAAGCAATCGGCGTCGCCCATGGACACCTGGAACACCAGAGACGTTACAAGTGCGTCACCGGCTTGTTGGGGATTAGGAGTTTGAGGATCGTTGGGGATTTAGGAATTGGGGAGATTGGGGAAGGGGAAGGTAATTGGGCCTCCGGTAACCTCACTCACACGACGAAACACAACGCAAGCGTTGCTTCACGTCGGTTTTCTGTGAGGCCGTGGTATCACTCCGGTCGAGCCGGCCCATTCGTGCCGAAACATGACTCTCCCACACTTCTCTTGATGCAGAGAAGAGTAAATGGTGCAAGAGGCATGCAATTATTTTTATAGAATAAGTATAATACTGGCACAGCGTACACCCTGTGCCAGTATTTTCACTCATGTATCCACAAAAAAGTACACTTTTTCGTGGATAACACATAAGTCATCGTAATTTAAAAACTATATGACTTGGATTTTTTAAAATATTTTTTTGATAACTGTAGAAACGTTGCCGATCACTTGGTGCCATTTGATCGTCGACTTCAGGGACAGTAGGTATAATAAATCGCAGGAAAGTAAAAAATGTACATTGAATATCCGCCAAAGTATTTTTAAAATAATGCTTTGGGCGTGACCTACAGTCGGTACCGAAATCAAAAATATGGTTTTTAGAATTATTGTATGTTGGTATAGACCAACTGCTGCATGGATTTTCTTCAAATTTTGCATGAATATTACTAACAGGTCGGGTCAACATATGGGTTACATATTATTATGTTATCAACTACGGGGGAGGAGCTGTGAATCACTATTCCACAAGGACGAAGTCGCGGGCTCAGATAGTAATATATAAATATATACTTGCTTACTTATACACAGTGGATAGTTGGCGTGATGATTCAGCCAACCTCTTTAAGAGAAGCTCAATGAAAAGCTTAATGGTTCGAGACGTTGAATTATTATTATTATGTGACATTCTGTACAAAATGACACTTAAGAAGTGTTTCATTTGATTTTTTAGTTTTAACTTAACATTCACGGTTTTATATAACAGTAATTCGATGTAACAGCTTTATAGGATACTGAAAATCTAAACAGACGTCAACGATGCGCAATACTCGTCTTCGTAATGTGTATGTGTACTCATAATTTGTTTTATGATCTTCCGTCGCCAAGGCTGGCCGGCGAGAGGTCACGTGCAATTGACTTCATTTGATGAATACCGCTCACAACCAAGACCACTGTTATAACTAATAACTAATGTATTCACTATAAACAGTACCAACTACTATCAATTGAAATCAAAATTATTAAAGAACAAATTAAGTCTTGATTTCTCAAGAATAAATTAGTTACAATGAATCGTCTCTTGCGGAGAACAGAATGTACATTAATAAGTCACGGTTTGTTTGCACTGTTTTAAGTTAAATATTAGTTCAAAGAAGATTCTATCTTGCAACACTATGGTAACGATCACGTACGAAGCTATATGTACCTAATTCTTTTAAACAAATTAGGTATCACACACAAAAGCTCGTACTAAAAGTAATATAGACACAGTTTTATTGCTAAGCAATTTGTTCAAATCTCTGAAGAACATAAACTTCGTACATTCCCCTCCAATTCTAATTCAAATAAATAATTTACTAAACAATGTCTCAAGTTGTTTCAATGAAAATAGGCATGAGCATCGATGTAAATTAATTAATGTACCTATAACTAGAACGTATTCATATGTATAGGCACAACATTTTCCTAATTTACTCGCTGGTAATTGAGTCATGGTAAAATTGTAAATAAAAGTTGTGAGGATGTATGTGTGTGTTTGTTATTCTTTCACTACAAAATAGCTGAAGGCATCGAGATCAAATTTGAAACATGAATGATGAAAAAAAACATGGGCTAGCCGTTGAAGCCGCTGGCAGAAGCTAAATGAGGATATTTCCATAATGTATCCTACATATTATATGGGAAGGATTTACAGTTTTAGGATTTGTGTATGTTCAGCGGTAGTCTAGGAAATATTGTGAAATATGTCGGATTTGTCGAAATGTTATCCTTACTCCGTTTAAGCTAAGATATGTAGCCATATCAACAAAATATGTGATAATGTCTAAGTTATTTATTTACATCCGATACATATTTGTTACTATTATGTTTTTTTTATTTATACCTACGTAAAATTTCAATTAGGTATTTCTCTAAGATATTTTTTCCTCTTGACTTTGCACTACGAAGGTGATTTTCAGGAATATTGTTACTAACACACAAAAACTAACAAAACTATGAATAAAGACAAATGGTCTAAAATAAACGTTTTATTAACATAACATAACATCACGCCTTTTATCCCCGAAGGGTAGGCAGAAGTGCATATTACGGCACTTAATGCCACTGTACAATGTAACACCCACCTTTCACTATTTATGTTATGAGACCCATGTAATAGGGGGTGAGCTTATTGCTATATACCAGACACATTTCTAGACTCTGTGCTACTAATGAGAATTTCATAAAAAAACCCAGTAATACTTTGTCCAATCCGGGAATCGAACCCCTTGCCCGGTAGTCGCACTTGTGATCACTCGGCCAACGAGACAGTCACGTTGTATTATTATTATATTTTATATTTAACAAAATGTTGTTAATCTACTATTAAACCAATAGAGGTATAGTTAAACATTATTATACACATTGTATGTATGAAGTTAAGATCCCGGCTTAAAGAATTCCATTAGGTACGGCGGAACAGAAATAACAAGGAAGCGCCGTCATCCTTTAGCAAAACATTTTATACTAAGCCATTACATTGTAGAAATAGAGCATAGTAATATAAAGGACGCGTTTAAATCTCCCAAGTAGTATTGTAGATTCTACACTACTAACTAAAATGTACGTAAACTCGAAGAAAACGTAATACTTAAACGCATTGTCGTATATATCATATCGAGATATCAAGTCCCAAGACCTCATATTGGACATGACGACAAATGCTTTCAAAGATATTACTTGCAAGTAATTTTATAGAAATCTAAAAATATCACAGTAATGCCACTAGCATAGAACATTTTCCATCTTCTGCTAAAAACAATCCTATATCTATGAATTGTACAAAATCTGTACATACCTTTCATTTATTACATCTTCGAATATTTTTTATGTTTTTGTTCAATATGTGAAAAAATATACAGCAATACTGATTAATTTTCTTGGGTTATGATAGGAACTTATAGCATTTCCGCAAATTCCGACAAAACCTTTTTTTTTCCTTATAATACCCGTCCATTTCTCTCTCTCTTCCTCTCTCCCGACTGCCTCGTTGGCTGAGTGGTCGCATATTGCGACTGACGGGCAAGTGGTCTTGGGTTCGATTCGGTCGGCCAAAGTATTACTGGGTTTTTAAAAATCTCAGTAGTAGCACGTAATCTGAAAATGCGTCAAGTATATGGCAATAGGCTCACCCCCTATTACATGGGACTCATATCACAAATAGTGAAAAGTGGGTGTTACCTTGTGTACAGTGGAATTAAGTGCCGTAATGTGCAACTCTACCTACCCCTTCGGGGATAAAAAGGTGGGATGTTATGTTATGTTGTAACACTCGTCCATCGTTTTTCTCATCTCAGATCGCCCTTAACTTATATTTTCATATTTTTGGCCACTTTCTCGTTTCTTTGCAATGGGTTTCATTCTATTACTATTTTAAACAATTTTAGACCATCAATCATGCTATCTGCACCGGCCTAAACATAATGTAAGGTGTTTTTGTCCCCCAATGTCGAAATTCTACTTCATCTAAGCAGAATAGTAGTTGTGATTTAAAATTTTATTTTTAACCGACTTCAAAAAAGCAACATACCGGCCGTACATTATACGTTCGGCCGGTATGTTGCTTTTTTTTGTATGTATGTACGCGCATAACTCTGAGATGCGTGAAGCGATTTTCAAAATTCTTGTTTTGTTTGAAAGGGTATACTCCCGAGATGGTCCCATTTTCATGAGGTCAAGATCTGATGATGGGATCCTAGGGAAACCGAGGGGAACTTTCGGAAATTCTATGGGCGAGTAATGCGTCTATTATATTTTTCAATTACGATTTTTAAACACTACAATTTGATAAGAGTCTGGAGTTGACCTGATGATGGAGCCGACAGACAGTCAAGGGAACTCCTCAGCGGTTTATATTAACTACCTTGTGTTTGGGCTTGATTAATTTGTATTGATGAGGACTTTACACATAGATAGAGTGGGACTGTCATTAAGGGTCTGATGATGAAGAAGTGTAATTGTTAAGGGAACTCCTGAACGGTATACTGTAACTACCTTGTGTTTGGGCTTGTATAATTTGAATTGATTAGAACTTTGTACCTATGTAGATTATAAGTAACAAAACGGGTATATGTATCTTTACACTGAAAATGATAA